CTTTTCTGATTTATAGGAATCTTGATAAACACTTCAGCCGGGGTCCTGATTATCCCTGTTTGTTTACACCCGTGCTGGGGAGCCGAATGCCTCCCCTCGGAGAGCCACGCAATGCTCACGTACCTGCAGGTGTGCAGGGGCTTGCTGAATGCCTCAGCTGTGGAGAGGAGTCCCTGAGGAGCGCAGGAGCCGGGGGGGATGTTTTCTGATTTATAGGAATCTTGATAAACACTTCAGCCGGGGTCCTGATTATCCCTGTTTGTTTACACCCGTGCTGGGGAGCCGAATGCCTCCCCTCGGAGAGCCACGCAATGCTCACGTACCTGCAGGTGTGCAGGGGCTTGCTGAATGCCTCAGCTGTGGAGAGGAGTCCCTGAGGAGCGCAGGAGCCGGGGGGGATGACCACAGGGCCATCCGTGGTGCCGGGGCTGCTGCGATCGCCTTGTGTTGATCTCCACCTCCCGGGCACGTGGAGGGCAGTTGGTCCTTCTGGGAGCAGGGGCTCCCTGAGGGGCTGTGCTGTGGAAGGGTCTCCTTGTGGCAGCGTCTTTGTTGTTTCTCATGTGGCTCTTTCCTTGCAGTCGGGCCTCACGAAGGCTGTGAAGGAGAGCAAGATTTCCTTGCAGCAGGCGGAGTACGAGTTCCTGTCCTTCGTGCGGCAGCAGACACCACCGGGTCTGTGTCCTCTGGCAGGTAAGGTCTGCTCCGTCTCACCGGTGGTGATGGTGATGTCCCAGTGGATGCCCAGAGCCACCACTGCCCATGGTGGAGATGTTTTGGTGACCGCAAAACCTGAGCAGCAAACCCAGCGGCGCCTGCTCCTCGCTGGGCGCATTGAACCGAACCCCAGACACGAATCTGTCACGCTCCCTGCTACCCACAGCCGCGCTCGGGGCGCTCCCCTGCGGTCTCGGGACCGGCGCTAAGGAAATTTCACTTGGCGGAGAACCCAGCGCTCTCGTCACACTTTGATACTTATCTGTGTGACAGAAATTGTAGGAGCAGGAACGGGAGAATTAATAGCGGGATTACCTCTTTAAACCACGTGTGATCCTGAAACGAGAATCTGACAAAGCTTTGCAATCATATTTACTAGAAAATGGGATAAACGAGCTGCTTGCAAATGGCTTTTCATAGCCTGTGATCTTTCCCCAGCTTGCTTAGCCTGTTTCTCGTGTAGACGCCGCTCACGGGAGCCGTGTAACGCCTTTGAAGAACCGTCTTGTTTCGTGTCTTTGTAGGTAACTCTGTGCACGCAGATAAGAAATTCCTTGACAAATACATGCCTCAGTTCATGAGGCACCTTCATTACCGCATCATTGATGTGAGCACCGTCAAGGAGCTCTGCAGGTGAGCGCTCCCGCTCGGCGCCGCTCTCAGAGGCGATCTGGGGAGGCCTGCTCAGCGCGCGCTCCTCTGGAACAAGGCCGGGGCTGCGGGCGAGGGCTGCCTGCTCTTTCATCTGCTGTGCTGGGACAGCGGCTGCTCTGCAGTTCGCAGTGCGAGGACTCGCAGGGTTGGGGCTGCTCTGGGTGCAGCAAAACCCAGATCCTTTCGCAGTTGTAACAAACCCACAGCAGGCGCTGGACGTGCCCTCGAACCCCAGTTCCCTTTGGTAACGGGCAGGTTTTCCCTCCTACAGACGCTGGTATCCAGAAGAGTACGAGTTTGCACCAAAGAAGGCAGCTTCTCACAGGTGAGGCTTCAGCTTTTGCCTCTACCGGCGCAGGGCTCCACGCTCCTCATGAGTGGATCACAGAGCTTTGTCTTCCCAGCACGCTGCTCCTAACGCAGGCAGGGCTGCGTGGTTCTGCTCCGTCCTGCGCTGGTGTCCTCCTGTCAGGGCTGGTTACTGCAGGGAAAGGGATTATTGATACACAGAGAACCAGGAGATCCCTGAGCTGCTCCGAATCGCTCTGTTTGCTGGTCAGGGTGCTTGTCGGGCGCTGTAGGCAGTGGGAGACAACGTGAAAACGGTAGCTTAGCGCTTCTGCCAGGCACCTCTAAAAGTTGCAGCTGCCTAAAACTTTCAAAGAACTTCAATGTGCTGTGCATTACTCCGTGGTGTGCAGCGCTGCTGGACCTTTATTGCCTTCCACGTAGCGAGGGGCGCTGCTGTTCGTGACGGATGTGCCGTCCGTGCAGACCACAGCGATTACAGCCCAGACGCGTTGGCCTCCCGAGGCAGCTGAAGGCGCGCGCTGGTGTGGTGAAACCCTGCTCATTTCTCTTCCAGAGCACTCGATGACATCAGGGAAAGCATCAAAGAGCTGCAGTTCTACAGAGAGAGCATCTTCAAGAGGAGAACGGATGAAAAGAAAAGGAAACTCATAGAGAACGGGGAGAGCGATAAGACCGCCAGCTGATTGCTCCTCGCCGCGCCACCCCGCAGCACACAGTTAGATGCGTCTCCTGTTCTTTTCTGTCTGCCCATCTCCCCAGAAGCTGTGGCCCTTCAGCAACCTGGTTTAACAGCAGCCTTACAGCGCAGAGGGCAGCCGAGCCACGGCT